GTGTAACTTAATAAGACCAGGTTAAAAACAACAACAAACTAAAAACAATGACAAAGGGACAGTATTGCCAGTATGGTGTTAAGGCCTTTAAAGATCGGTCATGCTAGATTCAGGGGAATGGAATAGTCACTATAAACACATTTTCAAACTATTTTTTTTTTTTGTAGCAGGGATTGAACTCGGGACCTTGTGCTTGCGAGGCAGGTGGTGGCACTGCTGAGCTAAATCCCAGCCCTATTTCTTTCTTGATGTTTTTAAAAAATTTTCTTGATTTATTTTAAATTTCCTGGCTAAATTAAATGATAGAATGACCCCTGGAGAATGCAAGACTACCTATTTCTAAATAGTCCTAAATTCCTTTGAGTCCTGATGATTAACAAATTCATCTTGAAGTGTCAACTATGTCCCAATTAGGAAAGAGAGTTTCTCTATATGAGCTTAATTTTCTGACTTGGAGGCCTCCTGATTGCTAATCAACATATTATGTGATTATTTCAACAAGTACTTATAAAATGTTATTTTGTCACTGGAAAAATGCAGTGGTGTTTTCTGAACTCTAGGTTGGTCCAGGGTCAAAAAGGAATAACTGTACCGAAAGCAGCTCCTAACCACTGAATATTCTTGATCTACTTCTAGAACTACATGTTCAATTATGAGGATGGATGATATATTGGAAAAACCTTTGTATTAGAAATTAGAGATAGAGGCTTTAGTCTTAGGTCTGCCACTTTATTATATAAATTCAAGTAAGCTGTTTACTTTCTTCATGGTTTAGTTTCTTTTTAGTAAAGGAGAAATATGAAGTTGCATCATAGACAAATTTAACTGTTTATGGTTGGCAAAAAATTGCAAAGAAAAACAAGTTTAAATAGATTATAACCTGGAATAAGCATGAGCGCTTAGAAGCACTCATTTGTTGTAAATTCAGTGTGTTTTCATGACTGTCACTGTAAATACTGTTCTGCTATATGATTTTATTTTATTTATTTTTGGTTTTTTGAGATAGGGTTTTGCTATGTAGTTCAGGGTGGTCTTGAATTTGCAGAGATCCTCCTGGCTCAGACTCCCAAGTGCCAGGATTACAAGTGTATAATTACTGTATAATTTTTTTTATATTACTGTATAATTTTAATGACATATATTTAGTGTAAGGTCCATCCCTAAACAATTCACCTGCTTCCTCTAGACCTCCAAGGAAGAAATAATCATTCAAGTGATGGGACCTGTATCTTTAGGCTTATTTAAGAATCAAACAGGGTATTAACTCTATTAATTATAATAGCATAAGGGACACATGTGTGCCACTGCATAAATAAAAATTTATGTAAGGTAAAAAGATAAATATATAGTTACCTGTTGCAGAGTTCTTTTAATAATGACACAAAAGCACAAAATGGTATTATGCAGTCATAAAAGAAGAACACCTTACAAAATAATAGGGTCAGGGATTTAGCTCAGTGGTTCTACTGCCTGCCTTACAAGTGCAAGGACCCAAGTTCAATCCCCAGTATCAAAAAAAAAAAAAAAAAAAAGAGAATAGGTGATTGTTTTGGTGCCTATAATCCCAGCACTCAGAATGCTGAGACAGGAGGATCACTGCAAGTTTGAGGCCAAAACCAAGAAAAAAACCCAGAATAATTTCTAAGGTAAGTGAACAAATAGGTTACATAAAGTGTGCAGTGTACCACTTAGGTTTAAAAAGGGGAAAAATAAAACATACACTGATACTACTTATGTGCTTATATGTACATTTTTTTTTCCAAAAAATATGGAACACACTGTTGTCCTTTGTTGCTTACTTCTTAGACCTAGACAGGGAATTTGGTGATTGAGGGACAAGTGTGGTAGTAACTTTTCATAGTGTTTGCTTTTGATTTCCGAACTATGTGTACTACCAAAACAAAACAACAATTTAAATCAGTATGAAAGTAGTTTGAGATGAAATGGGATCACGTCCTTAGTGGAGAACATTTTTTTAAAAGTGGTAATTCTAAGAGTTAACATCTGCAGAATGTTCAAACTACAAGGGACATTCTTTAAGATATCCATCTCTTCTAAACTTCTCTTTTCATAGATGTGTAAACCAAGGCCTTCAAAATTAAGTGGCTCGTGAAAAGTCACATAACAGAAGATGAGATATTCCAACATCTACTCTAGGACTCTTTATCATACTATTTTCTCATTTTGTGTAGGAAGAATAGAATCAAGTGAATTTAGGCTACATTGAGTTATCATATTCTATCTAAATTTTAGTCTACAGTATGAAAACAACCTTAATCCCTGGGACTACTTATTTCTTGTTTGGATCACTATAAGGTTACCCTTACAAACAAGCTGTGCCTAACTTTATAATTGCATTAATACAGCATTATAAATGCATTTTAAAAAATCATAACTAAATTCACTGAGGACAAGTACTAAAATGTCTCACATTAATTTTTTAAAATATACAAATGCCTAGCACAAATTTATTGGGAAAAATATTAATGTAGGTTCCCAATTCCTTAACTAAACCCCAAGTGTTGGATATGTTTTAGAAAAAAGAATTTTTTGGAATGAAAAAATGTTAGAAGGTACACAAACCAATTATAACATTCCATATACCAGTGGCCAAGAGCAGCACCCGATAATTAAACCTTGGTTTTAGCAAAACATTTGGGATAAAGACTACACATAGCTTCTCATTAGTTCTGGTTATATTTTGCTATCAAATAAATTTTGTCTCTAAACTGAAAAAACTTGCTTTTCCAAGCTTTCTGAATGTTAACTTTAGATAAGGAATAACAGACTGTACTCACAGGGTGCTGCAAGAAAGCATCACTATATACTTTAACTTCATCTCTCTGATGAGATCAGAAGAACCAATTATAGCAGGCAGCTTGTATAGCAAGTTCGAGCCACAGAAATTTATTTTGGTTAAGGAATTCAACCTCGTAAGAGATAACTTCATGAGAGAGAAAATGAGAGAAAGAAATCCTGCATGGCATTGTATTCCCATTATAGTTATTCATTAGTTATTAGTTTAACAAATAAATTAAGGCTAAATAAAGGCTTCCTTTTAGTAAATGGATATGTAAATAGCAATAAGTAAACATAATTTCTGCCCATAATGAGGACAAAAGGGTGGAGGCGATGAACTTTAACCCACTTGAAGGTGACTCCACTCTTCAGGACCACTGTACATAGGAAAGGAATTCCAAATTCACTGGTAAGGAATAAGCAGAAATGTATACAATTTTGTCAATTTGGCATCATTACTATCAAATAGTAATGAGAGTAAAGATTTCTACTCAACTTTTCCTAATCTCTATATCAGAATATCTGTATAAAGATTTTTTTCCTGCTTTTTACAAGAGAAAAAACTCTCCCAAGTCAAAACAGCACAAACTAAAATCTTTTCCATTCTCTCCACAAACCAAGCCTCATTTCTATTTTGTTCCTGTCATTCCATTTGGGGAGAGGGGAGGTCAGAGAAGTAAAATTTGCACTAGAAGACTATAAATCAACTTTTCAGATGACAATGTTTGGTTTTTGATATAATTGTTTGGTGATGTTGCTCTGCAATCTTAAAATTTTGGCTACATTTTAACTCAGTCAATTGTTTCGCTCCATTTGAGTTAGCATTCAGTCAGTGTTTATCACAGAAAAGGTATTCCTTTCTAAAAATGGAAATAGCAATGGCGTGCAAAAAAAACCAAACCCAATTAGTTTTGGGTTCTATGTCAAGAGGAAGAATTAATTCTCAAATTTTCATTATAATCCCAAACAGAAAACCTAATTAAATGTTAACAAATATATCAGTACATTAATAATTTAGTACCACTACAAAAATAAACAAAAACCACCTATTTTTGTCTGGAGAAAAACTCGCAACAAACTGTTGGATTTCTTGACCATCTAGAAGTACCACAAACTAAAATTCTTTTTTACTTGAGAATTTCTTTGTACAAAAGACTTGGTTCCTCCTACCACCCTACCAGTATTATTCCAGGAATCATTTAAAGAGGCTGAAAACCAAAAGCAAAAACTCATATCCCCCCAAAACCCAAAGCATAGACCAAAATGCCAATCGCGGTCCCTCTGGAGAGAAATGGTCAGAAACTACAATGATATCCTAAGGCACAGAAACAATCGGACTCGAAGGACTTTTGGAATAAGTTGCTTTCAAAAATTAGAATGCAGACTCCGACACAGCAGCCGCAGTCACGATGTCCCTTAAACCACATTACCTCCCTACCAAAGCAGTCTTAAAACTTATCAACTAAAATGACAACTCCCCTTTCTTGGAAGTTCAAACAAGGCAGGGCAGCTGAAACGAGTGCAGCAAGGGGCAGATTGGCTGCTCAATAGCAGAACGGGTTATGGAGAGGCAAGTCCCTGCGCTTTCACGACTCCCCTTACCGTTAGAAGATCTGGGAGGGAGAAAAGGAGAAATACCCCAGAATCCTCGTAGAAAAGCCCCTGGCCTCGAAGGTGGGGTTTAGGGAGAAGGGAGGGGCAGCTCCATGTGTGGTGACCCTTTGTGAACGCGCACTAAGCACTCGGCTCTCTTCAAGGTTTAAGGAGCGGACTACGGGAGCCTGGCGCTGCTCAGCTGTGGAGGCCGCGGCACCACAGGGACGCCCAAGCCGAGCCTCCAAGGCAGCCGTTTTCTTCTCCTATCCCACCCTGCGGGTCTCTCCAGAAACCTGGGCTCCCCACCCGGTATCCCGCGGCCCAGGGCGCAAAGTGGTACTCTCTGTTGTCTTTCTTCAGCGGCGTAATCCCTCCGCAGCGAGCCGCGCATTAGTTTTAATCATGCCCCACCCCCTGACGCTGGCGTCACCTCCGCCACTGGAGCGCTTTCCAGCAGCTTCCAGAAACGTCGCCTTTCCAAACCCAGCCACTCACACATTGGGGGCTGGGTAGTCACCGGCTCCGCCTCTACTCGTTGTCAGAATTGAAACTGAGGCTGCGGCTGCAGAGCGGAAAGCCACGCCTCTGCGGAGCTCGGCCGGAAGTGCTGCTGTCTTCACCTTCCCCACCACGCCTACGTCCTTTCAAGCCCGGCTAGCAATGGAAAGGGGAACGCTTTTGCCTCGGACTCCAACCGGAAGTTGTTTTCCCGGTTGAGATGCGGGGGGGCGGGGGGAGTATCTCGAGGGGAACGTGAGTTGAACGTTGCGACTTGGTGGTGTGGCGCGCAAGCTGGAACGCGAGTTCAGACCGGCCGGGTACCAAGAAGGGGAGTGCTCGGGGAAGGTAAGGGAAAAGAGGGAGTAGTTTGCTTTGGCTCTCGAAATAGGGAAAAAAACCAGCTTGGGTGTCCTACGGGTTGGTCCGCAGAGCACGCCGAAAAAATGGGATGGATTGGGACAAGGTTCAGGTAGGAAGAAGGGTTGTAGAGTTAGAGGTGCAGGTCCGTTTGGGCGCAGAGAGGTAAACACTGAAGAGAAACCAGAGTTAGTTTTCCTCTCCCGAGGAGCGTGGAGATGGGCAGGGTTAACGGAGCGCTAAGGCTCTTGGGTTTCCAAGGTTAGGTTTTGAAACTCATCCCGATGGATCCTGCTTGTGTCTGATTCGGCACAGCTGGGGATTAGTACCCAACAGGGCTACCGGTGAAAGCCGACACGGTTCTTCACCTTTAGGTTTGTAGGGGCTTCGCTTCGACAGTTCGCATGCTGAGCCTACTTGGTCTGGAAGCGCAAAGCTCGAAGATGTACAAGGCCTTTCTTCGAGGAGTTATTTCTCTAGATTTCTCTATTTTGCACACGGGACTGAATTAAGGTTAATTGCACACTTTTCCTAATTCTTAGGGCCAACTCTGCTACACATTCATTGCCCTGTAATTGGGTCCGTTCTGCATAGGGGCTCTGGGCTTTCAGTGGCTTACAGAGAAGTCTTGAAAGGGGCACGTGAGAAGAAAGATGCGGGTGAAGTAAAGGAAGACAAAAAGCTAGGTTGGTGTCACCGTGCAGGGAAGTTTGAGTCATGGTACTACCTTTAAGATCATACTTAGCTGTTTGGATGGACTCTTTATTATAACCAGGCTCGGGTAAATAGGTGATTTTAAGCTGAGCTGAGACAGACTAGGGCTTGTTTTGGGGGAACATCGTTTTGACAGTGATGTGTGGGGATGGAATGGAAAGAGGAAACATTTTCAAAAGAACTGTTAACAGAATTGGGTGACTTACTGCATGAAAAAGAGAAACGAGAGCTGAGAAGGACTCAAACTTTCTAGTTTGTGTTTGAAAGGCTGGAGATGGCAAAATTTATGTGAGTTACTGGGAGCAGGAGCAGGTTATTTTTGAAGGGAAGACAGCGAAGGCAGTTACTTAGGGACACACTAAGTTTAAGAACCCACCCCAGGATTTTTGTATTTGAAAGAAGACCTAGGTGGTTTTTTGTTTTGTTTGTATGAATTTTCTTTTGAGTGTTCTAAATATTTAGTATTTCTGCCATCAGCCTACCTAGCTTTCCCATTGAAATGTTGGTGGTGGAATCTGAACAATTCTGAAGGCGACTTCTGTTTAACTCATGTAATTGAGAGAGAAAGAGAACCACCTTAAAGGATTTCCTAGATCCCCCAGAGAGGTGGAAATTTTCATCAAAAACAATTTATTCGAGATACATAGCCTACCAGTTTCTCTTTTGAGAATGGTGCAACGTGACACAAGGTGCACTGTGTATTTCCTACATAGTGAAGTATTAAACTAGCACCAAATAGTAGCCTTAATTTATTATGTGTCAGGTGTTAAAGCATTATCTTATTTAATTCTTAGACCAGTTTTACAGATAAATTTCTGGACTCACTTTACAAGTGCAAAGCTCATGCTTTTACTGTTGGAACCACATAAATTTGACTTTCCTGTGTCCTGTAAATCCTTTTTATAAGCAAATTATAAATAAAAGTAGCTAAAGATAGTTGGTATTGTCTGTGAAAAGCCTAAAAGTAAAAAACACCAACTTGGAGTAATCTTCAAGGCAGTGCTTATCAGTCAGATGATTTTGCTTCCCCAGGGGCACTTTGGCAGTGTTTGGAGACATTTTTGGTAGGTAGACATCAGTGATGCTCCTGCACATTGTGCAATGCACAGGACAGTTCCTACAACAAAAAACTGTGATCCAAGATGTGTGGTGCTATAGTTGAGAAACCTTGTCTTTCAGTTATTTCTTCAGGAACAGGAAATTAAGATTCATTGATACTGACATGTTAAAAAAGAATTTTTATTTTTGAAATTATTCCTTGACTTGAAAGGTGTGTGAAGTTAATACAGCAAGAACAGAATATCACAAGTAGTTTTTAAAGTGAATCAGTAAGCCACTGAATCCTAGAATATGGCTCTTGTAGAATGATGGATTTTTAGGTTTTTGGAAAGATTTAAGCTTGAAGCTATTTTATAACATGCTGCTAAGTGATAATTTTCTTTTGCTTAAAGAATTCTTACATGTGGTTTTGGTTTATTTTAAATTCATATCTAAATTGCTTTTAATTGCATTTTCCTTACAGTTGGCTATATCTTGTAATTTTGACTGGATATGGTTTTATTTTACAGGGCTACACTCAAACTTGTCATGTATAATTTGTACTATGGCAGTGTTTATATGTTTTGTTCTGGTGCAGATCATTTACAGAAACAAATTGATGTCAGCTTTTAAAAAGTGACGTTTTCAGCTGATGAAGTATTGGTTAAAAATAATGTATGACACATGTGATTCATTGGTTCTTTTGTACCTGTTAAGTAATAAAACAGTGAATAGGGGGGCATCAGGTATTTTCTCATGTTATTGTGGACATGTTTGATTATAATTGTGCATAGACTCTTAAAAACGTTTTCAAACTCTGGTCAGTATAGTTTGCTTTAAATACATAGTGGATCCCAGTACTATGTTATGTTTAATTTGCTTAACAGTGAGTTGGGTGTGAAAATATAACCTGTGGCCAGTTTTTGCCCTCTCCCTGTTATATGCAAAATATATAAATAAATTTAGGTATTTTCAAATTCAAGATCACAATTACAGGATATGACTATCCTGAGACATATATTAAAATATATTTCTTTTATAAAATAACATAGCTTTTTATTTTAGAATTAATAGGATTTTTATTTAATTGTCTATTAACTTTTTTTTTCCAGGGTTCATTGAAAAATCCTTAGTGATATTGACATGTTTCAAGTGACATAAATTAGCCAATGACTCGGAATGATGGATTCTTCGAAGATTGGAAATGGTTTGCCAGTGATTGGACAAGGGCCTGATATAGGGATATCTTCACTCCCCATGGTGGGGTATTTGGGAAAAGTTAGTGAACTTATTTTTTGCCTCAGCGCAAAGTTGTTTTTTCTCCCCCTTCTATTTTTGAGACTTAAATTCAGTTTTAATTTTACCAGTTCTAAAAAATATCTTCCACGGAAATCTTACAGCAATGGCGAAAGATTGTATACCTCTGTGTTTTATTGATATGTGAAAGTAGAAATAGAACATAGACCTTATGGTGTACTATTTGAGAATATGAAACATTTATTTTGCCTGGCACGTGATGTTACTTTTTTTCTTGCAAATAAAATTGATGCTATGGTTAACACTTAAAACTTAATCTTTTTCGTCTTTAAAACTGTACTATTCTTTTTTGAATAATAACTATCTAAAACCTTATATGCATTTGTTTTATTTGCCATATGTACTCTTGCCAGGATGCTTGTTGAAAACTGATTTTTTTTCTGGTTACCTTTCCATTTGGCCTTTTGTAATTAGATGTAGTTTATGTATGTCTGTATTTTAATTTGCTTTATTTCTCTTTTAGAATTATGATTCAGCTAAAGTTACATCAGATGGATATTGTCCTGCTTGTAGGGAGAAGGGAAAGTTAAAAGCTTTAAAGACTTACCGAATTAGTTTTCAAGAATCTATCTTTTTGTGTGAGGATCTGCAGGTAAAGTATTATAGTACATAGTAATAGGTTTTAATCTTTTGCTTTTTTCTTCATTATTTATATTTTTACTGTTTGTATATTTGAGAGTATAGATTTTTAGTACATAATACAATGTTGTAAATCTGGTTGGTATACAGTTTTAAACAGTTTGTTTTTAACATTTAATTCCTGAGTTGGTACATATGTTTAACTTTGTGGGGTTCTTGTTAGCTATTAGCATATAGCACATACCCTCTTGTTGCTTTGGTTTATTAACTTTGGCACTGATTGAAAAAACTGTTGTTTCTAATTTATCTGGAAGAGTATTTTAGAAATTGGTTAGTCCAAAAACACTGTGTGCTCTGTGCTAAACACTATGTACTTAAAGGACTGTAAATATCTTTTAGAATTAATTACAGTAATTTGTATCTACTGGTATAACTTTTATATAGGTCATTAAATTCTGCAGTACTCAACATTTTATTGTATGTAACAGTTTATGAAACTTTTGTACACATTTAATTCTCAAACCTTTATGAAGTAGGTATTCCTTTTTTGTTTTTTTTTTCTCCAGTACCAGGACCTTGCACTTGCCAGGCAGGCGCAGCGCTGCTGAGCTACATCCCTGGCCCTAGTAGTCTTAATTTTCAAGTAAGAAAACGGAGACAGGGCTGGGAATGTGGCTCAAAGATAGCCTGTTTTCCAAGCACGCACAAGGTTCTGGGTTTGATCCCTAGCCCTGCAAAAAAGAGAAAAGAAAACAGATTTAGAGGGTTTAGGAATAGAAGATCTTTATAAAGTGGCAGAGCCATGATTGAAATGTAGTCTTTGGGGCCGGGGATTTAGCTGAGTGGTTTCGCCACCTGCTGCACAAGCGCAAGGACCCAAGTTTGATCCCCAGTACCAAAAAAGAAATGTAGTCTTTGAATTTCAGATCCGTTTACTTCAGTGAAACTAGCAGTTCATCAGAATCATCTGGAGTGCTATTAAAGTATTTCTGGGTCTTACCCCCAGATACTGATTCAGTGGCGTTGGCTCAGAATTTTGTAGATGTTTAACTTTTAGGAATAAGTCTAAAGACTAGCTCAGTTTGGAAGATACTAGGCCAAATCACAGGGTTAGTAGTAGATGCTTTTCTGGATGTAATTTGAAAGAAAACATTTATTTATGCATTTATTCACTATGTGTGTCACTGTGTTGGCACTATTCCCAATCTCATGATGAATACAACAGAAAATGTCTTGCCTTTAAGGTGGTTATGTTCTGAAGTAGAAAAGACCATAAAGATAATAAACAGTACCATTTTTTTTTTTTCTCAGCTGATAGTATTGTGGAGAAAAATCAAGCAGTGGCCACTAGAGTGTCAGGAGGACTTTGCAGTTATAAATAAAGTGGTAAGCAGAATGCTTCATTGAGAGAGTAAAATTTGAGCAGAGGCCTTCAAGAGAAAGAGAACTGTCTTTCAGGAGAAGTAGCATAAGGAAGGGCCTGAGATTGGAAGCTGCTTGTCATATTTGTACTATAGGCAGTGAAACCAGCGGAGCTGTATTTGAGTAAGAAGTAGAATGGTAGAAGATGGGTCAGGAGAATAATTGGGGAGTGGACCCAAGTCAGGTCTTAACATCCATGGTAAGGTCTCTTGACTTTAATTCTGGGTGAAGTGAGGAACCATAGCAGAGATAGTGGCAGAAGAATGGTGATGTCATCTGATTTATGTGTTAAAGGGATCACTGTGGCTGCTGGGTAGAATGTTTAGTGGGTAAGAGTTTGCTTTAGTTACTTTCTCATTGCTGGGACAAAATACCTGATACCTACTACTGAGGAAGAAAGGTTTACTTTGACTCACAGTTTGTAGAAGTTTCAGTCCATAGTCAGCCGGCTCCAAGGCACGCCAGCATGGCAGAGGAGAAAGAACTCTTGGCTTCGTGGCCGGAAGCAGAAAGAGAGATCAAGGGGAAAGAAGGGAGATAGACCCTGTCAGCTCACGTCCCAGTGCCGTACCTCTTCCCCAGGTTTCAGCCCCCTTCAGCCCTCAGTGTCACATTTAGCAGTAGACTCATTAGTGGACTAATCCACTAATGAATATCATACACTCATGATCTGCACACTGGCTTTAAATCCTCCTCAGGCTCCTTAGTAGATGAGATTACTGCACCCCATTATAAAAAGGATTTTAAACAATTAGTGTTATCAGGGAAAGCATTTATTTCCTTAGTTTTATTTGTAAAGTGATTGAAAGTTATTTTTATACTTTGTCTTTGGCAAATACTTTGTAGATAATTGTTTTGCAAATAGAAAATGATATGTTTTCCTTATTCTTTTTTTTTGGTACTGGGGATCGAACTCGGGTCCTTGAGCTTGCGCAGCAGACGGCGAAACCACTGAGCTAAATCCCTGGCCCCCTTACTCATTTTTTATAAGAATAAAAACATTTATTTAAGCTGCTCCCCTCAAAAAATCACTGAAAGACAGCATTAGGGTTTTTTTTCCAACATTAGACATTAAGTGATATTAGATGGTAGTACAGAGCTCAAATATTACTGCTCTATCTTCTTAAAACTTTTTTTTAAAGATAGAGTAAAAGCTTTACTCTAAACACTCATGTTCACTATAAATAAAATAGAAACTAAAGGCAAATATAAAGAGAGAAAAATAAAAGTCTACAAAAACATTTAGGTAGACCATTCAGGCCATTAAGTTTTGTGCCCAAGGGTCCTTTCCTGGTTTAATGTTACTGGTTTAAATTAAGCAAGGGTACAAGTAACGTGTATACACCATAATCAGATTGGTAAATGGCTTGTATTTTGGTTTTTGGTGGTTTGTTTTGCTTTTTCTTTATTTTTTATTTTATTGTTATTTTGAAGGAGGGTCTTGTTTGGTTGCCCTGGCTAGGGTCACACTTGGCATCCTTCTGCCTTACCCTTCCAGAATGCTAGGATTATGGTCAAGCGCCATGATGCCCAGCTTGTTTGGGGGGTCTTTAAAATTCTTTTTAAATTCTGGCAAAAGATACAACAATTTTTTAAGAGTATAGTTCAGGAGTATTAGATATATTCACAGTTTTGAAACATATCTAGAGCTTTTTTCAGCTTGCAAAACTAAAGTGCTGTGTCTAGATATCCTAGTTCTGCCCTTGGCAATCCCTACTGTATTGTTTCTGTGAATCTGATTTCTCCATAAAGCTTATATAAATGAAGTCATACACTATTTTTCTTGTATGTAGCTTATTTCACTTAGTTTAATGTTCTTGCAGTTCATTTATGTTGTAGCATGTAACAGGATTTCCATTTTAAGGCTGAATCAAATTCTTTTGTTTGACTATACCACGTTTTCTTTATCTATTCATCTGTCATTGGACATTTGGGTGTTTCCATCTTTGGTATTGTGAATAATGTGGCAAGGAACATGGATGCACAAATATTTGAGTTCTTGTTTTCAATTTTGTTGGCATACATACCTTTATGTGGCTTTTGATAAACACAGGTAATTGTTAATTGATTTTAGTTTTTTCAGTTTCCTGACAACTTAGAATTTAGGAAATCTCAAGGTATAAAGATGATGGTCAGGTTATTACTGATGTTGATCATGCACCTAGTTGATAACAGAATCCAGACCTTGTTCCATGTATACTAAGGAATTTCCTAAGTATAATATTTTAAAAGTAGTATTCACTTCTAGAAGCCCCTAGATGAGGGAAATTAGTGCATTTCACTTATCTGTTGCTGTGAATCACCTCAAAAGAGAGTATAGCATGATTTTGTGGGTTTGACAAGTAACTCTGTCACTCCATAGGATGTCTGCTGCAACAGTTGAAATGCCTGTTTGTCTGCAGGTAGTGGTAGCTGCTCTCTGGGAGTTCAATTCTGCAGTCAGTTGGGAATCTCAGGTCTTTTTCATGAGACTCATTGGGCTTAGCAGCATGATAGCTGGGACTAGGAGGGTGTCAGGAGGACAATCTCATTGAGCCAGTGTTTATCAGACGCCATGTACATGGTGTGTTTTAGTGTCCTGTCAAAGCTAGTCACGTGGCTAAACCCAGTCTGTGTAGGGGAGTGACTGCGAGGGCATGGATTACGACGAGGTGGGTGTGGTTCTTCAGTTCGCTGGGGGCACTGAGGAAGCAGTCTGCCATACTTCTATAGAAGAAGACATATTTTAAATGAGGGCATTTAGTACTATATATAGATTCTTGAATTTGTAGAATATCTTGGTAGTCTTCAAAGTTAGGAAAAGTTCACTAATGATTTGTGTATAGTTTTATATTTGGATGAAATTGTGTTAACGCGCAGTATGATTTGATGAGAACATTAAAATTCAGCCAGTTTGACTCCAAACCCAATAAGGGTATAAAATAACAATGTTCTCAGATTCATGTTCAGTTTCAGAATATAAAAAAAATAGAAATTGCTCTGTGCAATGGTTTTATTTGAAAATACTCTTCCCATATTTAATGTTACACAGCATGTATGTCCCAAAAAAGTAGCACTCTCCACAGTATCTTTACATTGTTGAAATTTAAAAAATGTAATTGACATTGAATTTCTTACTAGAGCAAAAATAGATGTTTTGCTTATTAGTGTACCCTAGTCTAGATTAAATCTGATTTTTTCAAATTAACTAGAAAAAAAGTATTTTGGGGGGCCTAATTTTGGTCAGCTCTAATTTTTCCAAATTTAGGCTAATGCAATTGCTAATGTCAAATTAATCTTAAAATTTTATGTATTTTTATGATACAGGAATTATAAGGTAAAATGAGCTTATTAGAATTTCTATAGTTTTTATGATTTTATTTTTCTTTCCTAGTGCATCTATCCTTTGGGCTCTAAATCACTTAATAATTTAATTTCTCCTGATTTGGAAGATTGTCACACTCCAAATAAGCCTCAAAAAAGAAAGGTCTTGGAAAACAGCTATAAAGATTTATCTCTTTTAGCAAATTCCAAAAAGACTAGAACTTATATTGTTACTGATGATAAACAAATTTTAAATAGTGAACAAAATGGAGACGTATCTGATGAAACCTCATCAAATTTACTACTTGGTAGTAGTCAACATGATTCAGTTAGGACAGCTGAATCCTTGGGACAGAATGAGATTTTGGAAGCTGATAATGTTGATGTGGCTACTGAAGGTCCTGCTACAGTTGATGTCTCTCGAACTGGGGGAATTTCTTCTCAAAATGAAGGATGCACATCTGAATTTGAAATGCCATGGGAGAGAACATGTTCATCATTTTGCCACACTTCATGTGTCCAGTGGAGAAATGCTAATGCTCTCTGCTGGTTAGATTCTATCCTGACAGCTTTGGTGCATTTGGAAGCCTTGAAGAACATTGTGACTGATTTGTGTCCTAAGGACTCTGTATTTTGGAGGTTGTTTGAAAAATATAATCAAGCAAATAAGCTCCTGCACACCAGTCAGTCAGATGAAGTTAAAGGTTGGTATTAATATATTCTTTCTTTTTAAATTTTAAAGATTTTAAAGTTTTGTCTCACAGTGAGAGGAAAAGATGCCATCAATAGTTTCTGTTCTGTGTAGAGTCCTGAGGCCAGGGAGCCATGAAGTGTCACGAACCCTGAGATAACACCGGTCACTACATCGTGACTGCCACAGAGGCAGCCTTTTCCAAAAGCTACTGGTGAAGAAGAAAGGGGCTGTGGTTATGCCTTAACTTGTCAGGGTGATAGTGGTCATCACAGCATTGTATCAAAGTGAAATCTCAAGTTTTTAACTACTGAAAAGTAGACTGGAGTAAAAATAACTTGTAACTAAAAATCCACTCCCAAATCTTTCTTTATAGCAAAGGATATATTATTGTTTTATTTTCTATAAAATACGTTACCCATGAAGCTACCTTTTAACCCAAGAAGTATTTAAAAAATTCCAATTACTTCTATTTGTATGTTCATTGTATTTCCTACTCCCCTTTATCCAGAGGTAATCATTACCTTGAATTATGTTTTATTGTTCCTTAACATATGTATAACTAAACAGTATATTGCCAAATTTAGTTTTGAACTTTTTAAAAAGGGCATTGTACTATGTGTGCTCTGGTACCTTTCCTTTCTGTAAGGTTCTGTGAAGCTATTTGTAGTTGTATTTCAGTGATTTTCATTGCTGTATAAAGTTTCCATTATGGAACTACATCAGTGTTGTCTTCCCTTAGTATCTGTGGGTTCCAGGACCTCCTACAGATACCAGAGTCCAAGGATGCTCAAGTTCTTTATATACTGTGGCATAATATTTGTATAGAACCTTTGCATATCCTCCCATATACTTTAAATCACCTCTGGATTACTTATATCTCATGTAAGTGCTGTCCAAATAGCTGTTACATTGTATGGGGAATATTGACAAGGGATCACATATGTTCCCTCTTCTGTGAATGTCTTATGCCTATTTGTTCTATTGATTGTCATGTTCTTATTCATATGAATTTTTTTAACATCCTCAGCGGTATTTCTACATCAGATATGTGTTGCTGAATTTTCTCCTAGTTTCCAGCTTGTATTTTTACTTTTTTTTTTTGGTACCAGGGATCAAACTCGGGACCTTGTGCTTGTGAGGCAAACAGCGGAACCCCTGAGCTAAATCCCTGGCCCTGTATTTTTACTTTTTTTTTTTTTGGTACCAGGGATCGAACTCAGGTCCTTATGCTTGCACAGCAGGAGGTGAAACCACTGAGCTAAATCCCTGGCCCTGTATTTTTACTTTTAAAAGATGTCTTGAGTTACAGGAGGCTTTAGTTTTCCTTTGGGAACTAATGTTTGTTGCTTTTTAAAGAAATCTTTTACCAAAGTCAAGAAGTCATTCACTGATGTTTTCACTTAAAGATCAGTTTTATTTTTGATATTGAAATTCTTAACTCAGCTGGGGTTAGTATTGTGTGTGGTGTGAGGGTAAGGATCCATTGTTTCTTCCTTGCGTAGTCTGTTTTTCTAGCTCCACTTTTTTGTCAGCTGATCTGCCATGCCACCTTTGTCATGTGCCAGTATTCCACATACATGTGCAGCTGCTCCTTGACTCTCAGTTTTGTTCTCCAGGTTTGTCTGTCTTAACATCACTGTTTTATATGGCTTCTTCTTGAACTTTTATTGAAATGCCTTGGTACATTTCTTTCCTGATCTTATTTGTGCCTTTTTTTTAACTTAACATTATGCCAGAGTTTTTTTGTTTTGTTATTATGTTTGTTTGGGTGTTTTGTTGTTGTTGTTGTTGCTGTACTGGGGCTTGAACTCAGAGCCTTCACACTGAGGTACATTCCTACTCCTTTTTATTTTCTATTTTACTATGAGACAGGGTCACTGAGTCGCAGTGTTTCCCAGGCTGTGCTTGAACTTATGATCCTCCTGGGATAACAGGCATGTGCCACTATGCCTGGCTCAAATTTTTTTCACCTGACATTGTAGATATTTTCTTATGCATGTATGTGACTTTGAATTTCCCAGTCCCTTGTGTACATCCTGCACATTACTTCCCAGTTACTATTCAGGCTACATAGCATGTTTTACTATTAGGAATTCACACGATGACAAGTATTCATGTATCTTTTGGATACAGTATGATTAATATCCTAGGAAGGATGTTAAAACACTAGTGTTAATGGTCTTGCTGAATGGCTTTCCAGGAAGGTTGTGCTAGCTTAGTTTCATTTTTGTTATGTCAAAGAAAATATCTCAAGATCTTTAGTCTTAACCTTTGGATTGTTAAAAAGTTAGGATTTTGTTAAGAAATGTTTCACTTTGAGTTCCTTGGAGACTGATTTGTGTGTGTGTGTGTGTCAGTTGTTTGATTTTTATTTTTTTACAGTTCAGTTTTTCAAAGGATCTCCCTTTGGCTACTTGGGGGTAATGGGGGTGTTACTGGTGTTTGATTGCCACACATAAATCAGTATCCAAGTGAAACATTAATTTCTTTGCATTATTGTAATGAAACACCCCCTGAGAAGCAGTATAGGCTGCGCAATGGGACAGTGGTTCAGGCTGGTGGGTTACTTCATGTTAAGGAGAATCCAGATATTTTCTTTATTGAAACAGATAAGCAGCGTGTGATCGGGATGTATTAATTATTTATAAGAGATTTGAGAGAAAAGATCCATTTATATCTTGTACATAGCTAGAGTCAAATGCATATAGTCTATGCAAAATAAATTTCCTATTAGTCTTGTGTAGTTACTATACTAATTCCATTGTGAGGACTTTTATCCTAAAGAAGTAATCAAAAACATGGACAGATATATGTCCCAAAATCTTTATCACTGTAATATTTATAATATTAAAAAAAGAAACAGCTTGCTTACCTGTCCAGCAAAGGAGGAGAGATTAATAAACTATGTACTATGTAAGTCACAGTATAATAACTAGCCTGCAAAGTGTTTAATGAAGCAAATTTCTGTGAACAAAGCAGGATATGAAATTGTATAAAGATTATGATGCTAAAACCCTTTCTACCCCCCCCCCCCAAAGACATAAAGTGAAATATACCAAATATTCGTTTGGAAAAAATCATGATTTAAGATTTCTTACAAACCTATCTATTCCTATGACTTAGCTAAGTTCAAAAAAAGTTATTGCAAAGTATAAAAAATGTTTAAATGTTGTTTCTACCATGGGTAATAATAACATGTAGAGAGATAGCTTCAGCTGCTTCATAGATGAACAAAATTTCTGAAAGGTTAGCTATAGGTTAAGTATTCTTAATTTGAAAATCCAAAATTTGAATTGCTCTAAAATCTGAAAGTCTTTGACCACCAACAGCTCAAGTACCTGAGCTCATGTGACAGATTACAGTAAAAGAGCAATATTTGATGAAAATGCAGTGTAAAATTACTCTCAGGCTATGTGTATATAAAACAAATGAATTTCACACTTAGACTTGTGTGTCATTCCTCAGATACATCATTATGAAGATTCATTTATTCCAAAATCTAAAGAAACCTGAAATCTGAAACACTGATGATTCCAACCTGTATTTTAGTAGCCCTCTGATTTATTTGGGTGAGAAAGTTTTATTTCACCAAGGTTTTATTCAGGCACTAAATGATGATAATATTGTGCTGATAACAAATACTAAGGGAGTTATATGATCTACCACAGGAGGAAGAATTAAGGACATTTTGTATTTTGCCTTTGGTGTATTCATTTGCAAAACTTAAAATCATTTTGAGAAGCTTTCACTATTAATGTCTTTGTTTTTCTGTGAAAAGATACGCATTGATGAGAAATTGATAATGTTCTGTTTTAGGTGGAAATTATAAAAAACTTACTTCAGAAATATCTGCAGAAATAGAGACCTGTCTGAATGAAATTAGAGATGAAGTTTTTACTAAACTTCAGCCCCAGCTTAGATGCACATTAGGTAAGTAATTGGTGTAACTGAACTTACTGTCATAAAAAATATGTATATCATAAGAAAATACGTTGTTTTAGTACTTTGGATGGTCAGATTCTTAGGTGAGAGAATCTGGGCTGTATAACTTAATCTACCATAGCCTAAATCACTGTTCTGTGAGCTATTTTATATAAATAAGTAGGCTGGCATTTTACCTCTTGCAGTTAGTGCACTTCTCAGTACTAAGTGAACACTTGAGGGGGTACACCTTTTGTTATTCCTCCAAAACTTTCCCCCAGTAGGCTAATCCAGCATTTTCAACTTTGTGCATTAAAAAACATAGGGAAGAGCCAGCTATGTTGGCACACACCTGTAATCCCAGCACTTTGTAGGCCAAGGCAGAAGGATCGAAAGTTAAGGTCTCCTCTGGACATCTTAGCAAGACCCTGCCTCATAATAAAAACAAAAACAAAAACAAAACAGCTGGGGATGTAGCTCAGTGTTAGATCACCCCTGCTTCAATTCCTAGTTACTGCCCCCCCCCAAAAAAAAACCCAGGAAATTTAAAAGTCAGTACCAGTGCTAGGGTCCCATGCCAAGTGAGTTAAGTCAGAATCCGGAGGATAGGGCTCAGGTAATCAGTAATTTTTAGAAGCCCCATAATATGATTCCTACATATGGACAGATTTGCAACTCTCTGATCTAAAACCACTAGAGTAATTCTGCTTTTCTTACCAGTGATTATAAGAATGGACTTTGGTCAGTGGATTATTGAGATACATGATAATGACCTTTTGGGAAGCTTTCTCACCTTTAAAAACAACAATAATAGGACTTGCTTTGTCCTCTGTGAATTAATTTTGGCCTTTGGGAGCAGAGAGGGAAGTAAGGGAGTGAGAGCTTCTGTCTTTATAAACTTTTTTTTTTTTTGGTGTTATAAAAAAGAGCACTTGGTGTTTCTTTGTTTTGGGTTTTGTTTTGTCTTTGTTTTTGGGCTGCTAATGATCAAACCTAGGGTTGCTCACCACTGAGCTACATTCCGAACCCTTTTTACTTTTTATTTTGAGATAGGATCTTTCTAAGTTCCCCAGGCTGGCCTCACATTTGTGATTGTGATCCTCCCCCCAGACCCTCCTGAGGAGTTGGGATTACAGGCATATGCCTAGCTAGTGCTGATCTTTTGTTTTTTGAGAGGGATGTCTTTTATTTCCCTTTTATCTTTGCATTAACTTTTCTATTAATATTATGTGATACTTGATATTAGTAATTACCTATAATATCTGTGCCTTCTAGGTTTTTTCTCAATGAGTGGCTTTTATTCAGGCCCAGTTGTATCTGGAAGCAATTTCATTTGTACATACATACCTGACAGCTTTTGATGTACTTGTTTGTCCCACAGTTCTGCCCCCTAGTTTCTCCTTTGTTTTTCAAGGCCTCCAACATATGTTTGCTTTGTTTTTATAATATGAAATTGATTTTCCATATACTGGATCTCTAGCACTGCCTCCTAGGTCTGAGGAACTGTACTCATTTATCATCAGATGGGTCGGTGAGATGAATAATCTTTTTTCTTTTTTATCAGTAAAACGCTTTTTAAATGTATTTATTTAAATGTAGTCATTATAAGATATGGAATAGTTCTGTCACTCAAACTTTTCACTAAACTCCTTTGTTGTCTCCCCAATTCTTTACCCCCACCCACTAAGGTGTTGGGTGAATATTCATTTCAAAGGACCCTTTTCCAGAAGATCCCTAGAGTGCAGACTAAGGGACTCCCATGATTTATTCAGGAAGTAACCTAAGGTATGAGTTAAAGAGTGGTTCCCACCCCAATCTGAATCACCACCCTTCTTGTTTCTGGTAGTTATATATGGAACAATGGTGCACCTCTTGCTCCCTCTACTTTGGGCTTGGTTTTCTATGTCACAGAGAAGGACTTTTAAATAATTAGTGTGTAATCATGACCAGTGAGCATATAGCTCTTCTAATGTTATAGAAGTCCTTGCTTGTCTGTACTTCTGCCCCTTCAACAGTGAGTTTACCCACTCAAACATTAGAGTTTATGATCTTACTAATGAAATCTAACCTGCTGCAGAAAGCACCTTAAAATGTTCCTGTATCTTGTCATTCTGAACATTAACATTTGTTTCAAAGTACTTAACAATGTAGAAGTAGAATCTACACTGACCCTGAATGTTGGTTGAATTTTCCAGATCAGTGTCTTTATCATAGTGATTACTGGGTTTTGTTTTTGTTTTGTTTTGGGTACTAGGGATTGAACCCAGGGCCTTCATAGTTTACATCCTCATTCCCTTTTTTATTTTGAGACTAGGTCTTGCTAAATTTCCAGGGTGGGACTTGAATTTTGAGATCCTCCTGCCTCAGGCGCCTTAAAGTGTTGATTATTGTTTTTAATGATGCAGACCTTTCAGTGACTCTTTGCTATCTAGCTTTTCAAGTTTTCTCTTCTGTTAATTACTCAGCATCTTCAGGCCACTTTCCCATCTTGTCATGGCGTGTAAGGGTAGACAGTGGAAGAGATGGAGAGTCTAGATGAGAACCTCCCCTTTTGGCTCTTTTATGCTGGAACAGATAGTTATGCACATGAGTAGGGAAAGAATATCTAGGAGACAGTGCTGGGAACCATTGGGTCCCTGCTTTATACCATAATCAGAGAAATACTTCAGCCTATTTATTTAAAGACTCAAGTGTGAAAAGCAGGGTAATAAATTTTGGAAGAAAAAGCATATGAATGAATATTTTTATCACTTCCAAGTGGGGAAATGTTTTTTTTCCCCATTAACTTTATTGGTACATTTTAGGTATAAAATACAGTTACATTCATCATTGGGATCTTGTACCTTTACATGAGTCTCTTGG